GAACAGTCATATGGTTATTGTTCATGAGTCCAACAGCAGAGGGGAAGAAACTGTTCTTATGGCGAGAGGTTCTGGTGCGAATGGACCGGAGCCTGCTGCCTGAGGGGAGCAGGTCAAACAGATTGTGTCCAGAGTGAGAAGGGTCAGCTGTGATCCGAGCTGCACACCCCAGTGTCCTGGAGGTGTACAGGTCCTGCAGAGATGGGAGTCTGCATCCAATCACCTTCTCAGCAGAGTGCACAACACGTTTGTTCCTGATGGTGGCTCCAGCGTACCACACGGTGATGGAGGAGGTGAGGATGGACTCGATGATTGCAGTGTAGAATTGCATCATCGTCCGTGTTGGCAGGTTGAATTTCTTCAGCTGCCTCAGGAAGTACATCCTCTGGTCTTTTTGTCTTTGCTTCTTGATAAAAAAAAAGGACAAATATACTTGTCTACATATGCTATTCTACATGCTTTTAAACCATTTATAATCACAATTCATAGTTTTATATGTGAATTATATAATGTTAAATTACTATTAAACAAATGAGTGACTAAGTATTTTAGACTTTAGTTTACTTCAGCCATATTCCATATAAATCAGGTATCATACAAAAATAACAATAGCTTCAAATTCAATCATGACAATAAAACAATATGACTTTAAGGACTTAGCAACATTACTTCTGTTATACTACACCATTAGCACTAAGGGAACACTGAATGACCTGGTGGTTTTTGTACATAAAACTACTCATCTAACATTACCACAAAGTAAAACATCTCTCAGCAAAATTATGCAACATTTTAGGCACACTATTGCCCCTATCAAGTCAGTGAGCTGGGATTTTTTATTCTAAACATGTTACAGCAACAGACATAGACTACATGGGAAGTAGCCAAACACATGCCTTCTCTTCTCGTTAACTGAGATAAACTGATGGCATATTTGTTTTACATCTACATCTTTTACAACTGTACAGTCTCTCCTGGTGGACATGGCAACACGTTATTCATGGTTACATACAATTTTAGACTGATGTGGGCCAAAGCCTAGCACATACTTGCCATCCTTGAGACCTCAGAATTAGGGAGACATTCAAAAGGGCTGTTTGGGGGAGATATACTAAAAACCCTTGAATTTTACAATGTATCTGATAAAATAAGTTAAATGTCACTGTTATTATTGGCCGGGGCCAGAAACAGCGGGGGTGTCCAAATTCAGAGGCTGCGTCCACCTGAGGACCAGGTGTTGTGACTAAAAGTGATTGTCTGCCAAAAACTGATTGCTTGTGTTTAAACTGCTATAAATAACTTGTTGGTCTATAATATGTGAAACATATGTCAAATGTATCCCTCGTGAATGATATCAAGTCATCTTGAGCAACAAACAACATTCCTGTAACAAGGTAGAAGCCGCAATCAGTTTTTGACAGTGACCTTTATGTATCCTTTATTTATGCAGTTAAAAAAAATTCTTGTTGATTTTAAAAATGTCTCTTTTAAGAGAAATCTGGCCAAGAGGACAGCTGAAATTGCAACACATGCAAAAAATAATCTGTAAACATATTTTAAGTGGACAAAAGGAAGCTGATTGATTATAATGCAGGTACAATAACACAGTTACAAAGATACTTGAGAAACGGGTAATTTTTAAATTTTATATATAACCCCTTTGTAATACCTGTTCACAGAAGTCTATTTAGCATCATATGTAACAATATTACACATAAAAAACACACGGAAACATTGGAAATCACTTTTTGGCACAACACCAGCTCAGATCTTTGAAGTTTACACAGCTACATTCTCGCCTGAAAATATGTTTAAAGATTATTTTGCAACCCAGAAAGAGTAATAAGAGTAATATTAAAACTAAGTAGCTGCAGTGGCCATTGTTGGAAACTGGAATTGACTGAGCCAAGCTGGGATATGGTTTTTCAATTTTGTTGTCTGGGTGGAAAATCAGGATAAATTGGGGAGAATGGTGGCTCTGGGAGATTTTCAGGAGGGAGCCCTGAAATTTGGCTGCTTTGCAATTTACTTGCCAACATTGAGACCTCAGTATTAGGGAGACATTCAAAAGGGCTGTTGAAACTTGAATCTTACATTGTTTATTTATCGGATAAAATAAGTTAAATGTCACTATTATTATTGTCCTGCCGGAAACAGGCCGGGGGTGTCCAAATTCAGAGGCTGCGTCCACCTGAGGACCTTGCCTTCACGATCTAAGTGGGCTGGGTCTTCCGAAAGCCGGGTAGACCGGAAATGAGCGACTGTGAATTTGGACAGTCTAGCCTTCAGAATTACGTCACAAGCTCTCTCGATGGAGTGAAACTCAGCCGTCTGCTCCTTGCTATCTAAAATATAACCGGACGCTGGCGTAAATTCTCGACCATCTCACACTTTTGTTTAATCAGTTTTCTGATTGACGTTTATTCAGTTGTGTGAAAACCCCCGGAGGAACCCTCCTGGGGGATTAATAAAGTTTTATTTAATCTAATCTAATCTAATAACTTTAATCTCAGCCAAACCATTTTATTCACGGACAAATAAAACACTGAAAAAGGCCAAACAATAACATGTTTAAGTTATTTAAGTGACGGAAAAATCAGCAGGGTTGGCATGTATGGCGTAGCATAGCCTGTAACGTTATTATGACGGACACATTATATGAGTGAACTTGACTTTAAGTCACTTACAGGTTTCTTTGAAAAATACTTTCTTATATCCAGGTTCTTCCTTTTTGCTGCCATCCTCCTCTCTTCCTTGCAGGTCCTCGCAGCGCAGGCTTGCCACTGCTAAAACTAAACAGAGCTCCCTGAAGGGCACAGCCAATCACATTGGCCATATTTGTCACACGAGGTAAGACTCCAGTAGAGAACGTAATTTAACTCTTTCTGCACCACTAGGTGAATGAGACGTTGACAGATCGGTTAGTTTTTCTTTACTCAAAGAGATCAAATTACTGGTGGCGACATTTCAATAATTGCTGGATATTGATGGGGACATGTCCGTTCCCATTCCAAATCTACGCCCTTGGATGGTGGTTTTCTGCTTGAGGTCCTGGGTGATGGTGGTACCCGGAAGTGGAATGAATCCACAGTGGTGATGAGGGTGTCAGTAAGCATGGTGGGGGTAAGTGGGGCTGTGTGCTTCCACAAGTCCACAATAATCACCACTGTCTTCTGGGCGTTCAGCACCAGGTTGTTGCGGCTGCACCAGGAAATCCATCGTACAGGAAAGATTTATTCCAAGTCAACTGAACTTAGGAATACCTACTTGGGTAATAGAATTTTTTAAATTTTGTACCCCCAAAATGTAATCAAAATTATAAAATCCATCCATGTACACCCACCTCCTGGAATACGGACTGGCAGGTGACCCCATATCCTTACAGACTCAAACATATGCACCCAGTACACAGGCAATTCCATTGAGAACTATATGCATGCCATGCAGTTTTGTATGCCTGTGCAGCGTTTCTGGCACAGGATATGTGCAAACTTGTTCACGTGGTTTAGTTGCTCTATCCCAACCTCACCTAAGCTGTGCATCCGTGGTGACAAAATTGAATTAGATATTGGAGCAAATAGATCACATCCAGTCCCCCAGATGTGGGACACACCTGCACCATCTAGACTTCCCTTTGGGGTGGGGATGATGTGTGCTGGTCTCTGGGTGGGGCAGTACCCTGGGGTGCTGTTGACATGGGTCCCACATCCACCCCTACTCACCCTGCAGTGGAATGTGGGAAAGGGGTTTGTCTTCTTACACCCCCAATTCTTACACTGTCTAGGGCTGGCTGGCAATTTGGTGGCAGATCATCTGCGTTTCAGGGGCGCTGCTGGATCTGGGGTCACCTCCACATTCCAGAGCGTGGGTGTACATGGATGGATGGATCTCTTTGTGTAGTTTCTGTGTGATTGCATGTATGTATAATAGAATAGAATAGAATAGAATAGAATAGAATAGAAAAGAAAAAGAAAAAAAACCTTTTCTTTTCCTATTCCTCTGCTTTCTTCTCCTGTGGATATCACTTAATATCAGACATAATATCTTACATACAGTGGTTTACAAAAGTATTCTATATATATATATATATATAAACTTTTCCACATTTTATCACATTACAGCCAAAACATGAATCAATTTTATTGGAATTCCACGTGAAAGACCAATACAAAGTGGTGTACACGTGAGAAGTGGAACGAAAATCATACATGATTCCAAATATTTTTACAAATAAATAACTGAAAAGTGGGGTGTGCATAATTATTTAGTTCAAGGGGGCCAAATACTTTTGCAAGCCACTGTAACTGCGTTTGAGTCACAGGTATAGCCTCTGCCTGCATTTTCCTACCCCCATATTACACTTATTACGGTAAATTAAATTCTCATATATTTATTTATTTATGTATTAATTTAATGGAGCGTAACAGCAGGGTGTGAAAGTGACAATACTATTGAAAATCCACGTTTCCTGTTTTCTGTAATTTTTATTAACAGCAGGAAGTAGCTCCACTGCAGGAATAAGGAAGCTCCTCAGTAATCCTGCGGCTTGCAGACGGATAAGCAGACAAACAGTGTATAAGTAGATCGGCTGGTTGTTGTTTGTTTGTTTGTTTGTTTGGCGTTTTTGGACAGAAGAAAGTTCTGTTACGTGGGATTTTTAAGTGTGCGTGACCATCTTTTTGACGTAGACCAGGCGAACACCACCAGAAAATGACAAGCCACCTAAAAGTTCGGAGAGTGCTTCACATATTGCTCATGGCAGTGTTATTAAATGGTAAGCTTATTCGTGTTGATTAACTATATATTTTTTATTAGTGAGGTTCCATGCCTTTTAGATTCATTCCCTTTTTTCGCTAAAGTGAAAGCAAAAGCGTCTTGATTAAAGTTACAACGTGGGATACAAATAATTTTCAGGCAAAATGTCCTCGGTTTGTTGAAACAGTCCCGTCCGAAACCACATGAGAACAATAAATGTATCATTGCTGTTGTAACCGGTAACCTCAATGGTAGTGTAGTGACACTCATGTTTTACTTTGTCACAAAACTAAAACGTCACTACTTCCGCGTCTAGTTGGTTGGAATGGAGGCGGAGTCAACAGGATCCACTTTACCTGCCCAGCGAGCAGGGGAAATAAATTCTGTTGGAGATGACTACTTTGACATGACACCAGCGTGTCTATTACACGCTTTGTCGTGATATCGGGTTGACATATGTGTGCATTTACGGCTGATAAATCTTTGAGACAAGGCATGAGTTACAACTCACTCATCCCTTCTAGTGACTTTCACACTTCTCTTTCTGTATTTGCAGAAAAAAAGATGGAAAACTATTAACTTTTAAAACTACTAACTAAAGTCATGCCTGGTAGAAATCGCTAGGCACTTGTGCAAATGATTCTGAGCACTAAGACTTGGGTGCAGTGCAAACTTTATCCAAACAAGAGTTGCATAATTTCAAATTTTATACCATATAAATCTGAAATCTGAGCAGAATAGCTGATCTGTGTTTTGTGCAGAAGAAGTGTCAGATCATGAGCCCTCCCAGTTACTATGTAACTGGCTAACGTGCATAAATGTGCATGTACCATTTTAATTCTAATAGCACATTGCAACATTCAGGTATGAATCTATTACAGAAAGACTTTTATGTGTTCCAGATTTCCCAGAGATAGACACTTGCTGTGCACACAGCACAGGGGAAAAGAATCTTATTTCAGTTCATTTCTGCTCTGTTTCATGAAAATTGTGTTATTGAGCAACCATAGGTGGGGCTCGCCTCTAAATACTCAGATTGAGGATTGAGTAAAGACTTATAGGATAGAGACAGTTTTTCAGGCATTTTTAGCAATAACAGCTTTGATCATCAGAATGACCACACGCTCTGATTTGATGTCCCCTGTTAATTATAAACACTCCTCTTAACAGCTATCACAACCGCAACATGCCTACAACATGTTCTTTGTTTTGTTTTTTACATTAAAGTTTGTGCAATTTACAGTAAGTTGTTTGTCACAGACTTTGTTGGAATTCACATTTAAACTAATTTAGATATTCTTCTCCTTATAGTGAAAGTCTTACAAATATATATGCCATAAGCCACCTACAAAAATACTGCTTTTCACAATTTTCAGTCAGAAAAACTTACACTTAACGTCTTTGATAAATCCAGCATTTTATTTATTTATTTATTTTAAACATTTATTTATTGGTTTTAACCGGTTTTACATGGTGCATCGTGAGCAAAAAATAAAAAAATAAAAAATAATAAAAAAATAATAAAGTAAAAAAAATAAATAAAAACCACAACAACAACAGAAACAACATAATAATAGAAACAAAAACAAAGCAAACCATAACAAAAGGGAAGGACAGATATACAAATCAAGTTAGAGTTTCAGGCTGTTAAGTCCACAGTGTATACGTTGCAGTTCTCCAGAAAGTTGTAGAATTTTGACCATATAGCCCAAAACTTGTCCAGTTTATTTCTTAATGTATAAGTTATTTTCTCCATAGATAGTATAGATGTCAGTCCATTAAGCCATTGAGATAGTCCACATATTTTTTTGATTTTTCCAACACATAGCAATACAGCGCTTGGCTTCCAAAAGTCCAATCGTTAACAGAGCTCT